CGGGAATCACCTATGCAGAATGTTCAAGAGTTAATGTCTTCTCTTGGGTAGAAATATGTCAGTGACAGAATGAGATGGGGAGAAATTAGGAAAGCTTTTAAAAACTTTATGGGCATTTACAGACCTAAATACAATCCTGAATTTTCTTTTGCATGTGATCTTTTTTTCCTCCATGTGGAAGGTAACCTGTTCAGTATTCCTTAGCATGTCCTTTTTATGAAGTGAGACTTTACAATGCTTACCAGCTGCTCTGGGTTGGAATAATCATAATTGAAAAGGTTTTTACAGTAAAAGGTGGCTACTGAACATGCATAAAATAATCTGCAAGCAGTGAAATGGATTTACTGTTAAAGAGAACAAAGGCATGAAGTCATGTTAAAACTGAACTCAGTGTTTATCTTTCTATTTTCTTCTTTTTTAACCTAAAACAAGTAAGTATTCTGGATTGTTCTTTACATCATTTGATTTTTCTATACTGCAGGCCTTTTCTGCTTGATTGTTTTGTGGCCTGATTAATTTTTACATCCTAAAATTAGTTCTCTGATGGTATAGCTGCATATTTTGACTGCTGCATGTATATTGTGTACCGTGTGTATTGTGTGATACGGAACTTCTCTGTAAATCCTGCATCCCTTTCTGCTTTCTGTTGAGATCCTGATTCAGGGATGTAAAAATAGGTTTTTAAGGCACTTTAATGACTCTGCTTGAGCTGCATTCATTCTGGGAACAAAAAGACAGAGTACCTGAATGGGAGGAAGCAGTCTCCTGGTTTGTTCTTGAGCAATACACAGAAATTGGACTGAAGGTGATACTATGGAAGAGGCATTGTGTGTTATTAAGTAAAGTATATTCCAATTCAGCATCCTGGAGGGACGGAGGAGGGTTTGGAGTTAGTATTAAATGTAAAATAAATAATGTCATTATGTCTTATGGAAAAAAATTAGAACGTTCCTAAAGATTCAGAATGACCAAAAATGTACTGGAAATGAAATAGTTAGGCATAAATGCCTTCAGTATTTTTATGAAATGCTGCAACTATATCCAAGGCTCAGTGAATTAGATTAAGTTAAGGTCACAGTTAGGGCCACCAGCTGCAAAATAGACACAGCTGAAAAATGCCCTAGTGGTTGTATGAGCATCCTTCCATATGTTTCTGATTTATAATCAAGATTTTTTTAAGCTGAAGACATTACCTTTGTTCCTTGCATTTCTGGTAAAGAAACATATTCCTTGTAGCAGTCATCATGTTACAAATGAATTAAGCCCATTTTACAAATCATGCACGACAGTAAACGGAAATCAAACTACAGTTAACAAATTCAAATGGTAACTAGAAGAATGGTACTGTCGGCTATTTACCCAGACCTCTCTGTAGAGCGTTAGGTCCTCTTGAACTTTGCCTATATGTCATCAGTTATATCCTGAATCAAAAGCCAACCTCCTTCAATTTATGAAAGTTTCTTAGAATTCCTTCCTGAATTGACATTATTTCTTTATCACAATGTTGTCATTTCTTTGAGAGCCATTACTTTGTCTATGTGGACACTAGGGTTAAAGCACTGAAGCTTTATATGTTTTTTTACTACCTTGTGCCTGACATTTGTTCCTTATGTTAGTTGTACATCTACTTTACTCTCCATTTTTATGGATAATCTTCATGTTCATGTTCTTTTTCCTTGTGTTGTGCTTTATAATGGGGAAGGTTGATTTTTTCCCCTGTAGATGATGAATTTGTGCAATAAATTATGAGATTAAGGTATTTATTTTCCTTTAAAGTTAATTAGGTTCTTAGAAATGTAATTTTTGGATAAAATTGTTTAAAACATTGATGATAAATACGTACATTTGTGGAGTTCTGTAACTAGTTCCATAAATTCCAATAGTGTATGCACAGTTCGGTTTATACACGAAAAGTTCATACTCCTGCAATAGTATTGAAAAATGGTTGTGAAATCTCTTTCAGCGTATAAGTTTCTTGTTAAAAAAACAGTATGTTCCCCCTTGGTGTTTTTCAGGTAGGAAATTCCTGTGTTTATTGCTTGCAATGATCAAGTTGGGAATCAAAGAAGGAAATTGATTCATATTGTTACAGTGGAATGTGAATATGTTAAAAGAAGTCAGGGAAAATTGAAATGTAAACCATCTGGTTTTTATAGAAGAGCTTCTTTCCTAATCCAAGTAACTTTTATTATCAGCACACTGAAGAAAATATCTCACAGAGTAAGCTTTATAAGTATTAAATACCATCAGTAACAAAAAATGGTGAAAGGTGAAATATATTCTCACTGTTTTTATGCCTAAGGAACAAATGGAACCAGTCAGATTAAACTACTGTTATTTCTCTTTATTTTGATTTTTACAATACCCTACAAATACTCTACAATAATACCCTACAAATACGATACAATAACATGGATTGTGGTGAAGGAAAAAAGTATTTGTTTACTGACTGTTGTGAAGAAAGCAGTTAAGCTGTTGAATACTCACTAGGTTTTGCTGTTACTGATAAAATAAGCATTTTAATACGTTTGGTTCTCAGTTTATGAATCTGTTTCCTGCTTAAAAAGCCTATTTAATGTTCTGAGAATAAATACCAGTAGAAACATGAAGCAAACATGTTTTAATAGCAAAATCTGTGTGGTTATGTAGCAATGTAATTTGGTTTATGTAGAACTCTGCACACATCTGGGCTGCTTTGTGTACCTGAATCAGTATGGAAGCCTCTCTGCTACAGAACACTGCAACGTGGAGCACGTGCTGTTCCCAGATTTGACTAGACTATGCCTCAGCATCTAACCATAGTTGGTAGTGCTTAAAAAAAAAAAAGTTTAAAATTCAATTATATCTAGGCAGTAAGAATTTATTAATAGTGAAGAGCAATACCAGCATGTTAACTTAGTCCGAGATAGTGGAAACGTAGAACTGGGTGTGGAATTCAAAATGAAGGTTAGTGTTAGAATAACCTGTCTCCAGCAGTGGTCATAAGCAAATGCTTTGGGAAGACTGAGAACAGGATAAACATGCATGATTGTTTTCTCATCCCATGTCCCAGTATTCTTCCATTCTCCAGCAATTTTCAGCTCAGCACTTCTGTACCTACTGCGCTTTGTCTCTTTAACAACCTTTCTTCCAAGAAATGCAATTATTTATCCAGTCTTTCCTTGAAATGTATGAAATTGCTGCTGTGTCCAATGTGTTCCCAGGCATCCAGTTTAATGGGCTGGCTATTCATTGCTTACAAACTTTTGTTTGCCTTCTTTGTACCTGGTACATACTTGATTCATTTGATGGCTCCTTGGTCTTGCTCTGGAGCAGTTGTTCCCCAGACCTACACTGTGTATACAACTCACAGTTTTGCAGGTATCTTCTGTATCTCCCCATAGCCATTTCTTTTTCTGAACTGGTCAGTTCTCGCTATTCACTGTCTTTTTTAATAGAAAATACTCCTTACTCTTGGTGATGATACTGCTTTTTTCTGATCTTTTTCTAATTATATCATATATAATTATGCCTTACCAGGGCAAACAATATTTATCTAGATATTCCATTAATTTTGAACTTTGTTATATTTTTCTTGTATCTCTAATACAGGCATAAGATTAGGAAGTGTTTTGTTCCCTGAGAACCCTAAAATCTTTATTAAATAATAGCATTGTATTTGCCACAGATGAGATGTGATAATACTAATGAATGAAAAGTTCAGTACAATTCTATGTTCCATCTGAATGAGATTAATGTAATAAGACAGCTAGAAAGTTTTCAATGGTTATTGGTTTGACTTAAACTTTAAGAAGTGAATATACCTAGTTTCTACAAAGTCAATATCTTTAATTCTACTTTAAAACTAAAGCTACGTTTTGCTTCAGAAATGTTTTTTTAAAAGCAGAAAGTTTGTGATAACAGATACAGTACTTGTACTATATTTGAATAGTGTTAAGTGGATAGCTTTTTAAAAGCTCAGCAAGCCTTTCAAAAAAGCGTCTATTAGTTTAGATCTGCATTTTGTGCTCTATTCACTTATACTCTAAAATCTGAAGTACTTGAAAATTTATAAATGTTCCCTAATATGCAACATGTTTCTATTATTAGAATTATAAAGTTATAGCTGTGTATATACTGTAAGTAACACTATTTAAATAAAGTAATGAACACATACATATATTCCTCCTTCATGAAGCCAGAAGTACTTGAGGCTGGTACTGCGGCACTGTAATTGTGTGGGGCAATCATAAAATGTTTCACCATGAATGTTATATCTGTTCAGAAAGTAGATAAAGAAAGGAAAAGGAGAGAAAGAATCGATTTCTTGGGTTGTCTGAAGGCCCACAACTTGGTAATGGTATAGTAAATTTTGTATCCACTATTTATTACACCAGTTGTTCTTAAAGACTGTATATATTCTTAAAGGTTATAACCATGGGCTTATAAGGAATGTCTTTCCATTAAAAGTGTCAGCAAGTATTTTCATTTTCTTAATACTGTAGTTGTATCAGAAACCAAAAAAACTAAGATGGACTTCCAAAAATCACTGAAATTGCAAGAGTAACAACCAAACCTGTCTGAAAGGTTTTAGAAATACTAATACAAGTTTGCCCACATTTTTAGTTTTTGTACACTTATAATGTAAAGCTGGTAGTATGATGTATGGTTCCAGTTCTTGCAATCACTTGTTCTTCTTGTTGAAAATTGTGATCCTTCCTTACAGCTAACAAAGATTTATCAGGAACAAAGTACTGAACAATAAAGATTTTAAATAAAATGAAAGCAGTGAAGTGTCCTTTAGTATTACCTTACCCTGTAGATATTTGGATCTGTTCTAGGCATAAGACATATAACAATAGTTCAGATAGTATGTAGTACTTCTCTTTAGATTGCTTTAAGCAATTTTTGTTCTACTGTAAAGAATATAGCTAATGGGTATGAGCTATGGAGAAGAATAGTCTAAATTAATAGTTAAAAAAAAAAGCACCACTATTTGTACCAATACTACATTGTGAACAATTATAATAAAAAGATTAAATCACACTTTAATTTGCCTTCTAAAATAATGGGAAAAAGCATAGGTAAAATGTAAATACTGGTGGTTCAGTTGTATTAATGCACATAATTTTCCCTAGATTCTAAGACCTATGAGTGGTCATTTATTGCCTATATTACTAGTAAACTACAATCTCCTTTGACTTGAATGAGTTGTGGTAGTTGAGGTACAAGCTGAGAAGTACATGTTATAATACATGTTGGCAGGACACTGCAAACATAATATGAGGCACATTTGAAACTGTTGTTGTGGGTTTTTTTCCCTGTCAAATTAGAAATTGGAAGAAGAAACATCTTCATTTGTGGAAGTTGTGGAGCAACCTTGTGGAAGTATCTCTGTGATCTCACCCTCTTATTTTCTCTAGTGTGTAGCTGGACAGATGTGTGCCTTATTTGCTTGTTGCTATTGAGCATGAGATTGATTTATATTTTACGAATTTTGCAAGCTGGATCACTTTAGAACATAAAAGCTTTTTCAGGTCAATTTTCTTCAAGTTAGGCTGCTCACCATAAGGATAGGTCCATCATCAACCCAGGTTGTATATTAGGTTGCTATCTAATGCTGAGGTGCTCTTTCCTCCTAGTATTATGTTTTTTACTTCATCAATAACAGGCTTTTACCTACACTAAAATCTTATCTCCACTTTATAGATGTATCTTAAATATCCCAAACTATCCCACTGTTCTGTAGTGGATATGAATACCCTACAACTAAGTAACAGTTTCTATATATACCCATTAATGATAATTACTTCACTGAAGGTATGGATGAAAATAGTTATCTTCTGCTTCGTGGTCCTCTTCAGTTTCGTGATCCTGTATTTCATGGTCGTCATCTGCTTCATGGTATTCTTCTGGTGTTAAAAATCGTCGGAAGACTGTCATTCTTAGTTGAGTTGATTTGTTGCCATTAACATTTTGTTCACCATAATAAATGGTTCGAATGTGAGGAAAGCAAAAGAAAGCATATGTGCTGATTGGAATTGTAAGCTTATTTTGGTCCACCCGTATATAGGTTAATTGGTTGGTGTTCAGTGGATCAATAGATGGACACATCAAAGTAACATTTATGACTGTAAGAGAGAGAAAAATGTTAATTAAAATACAGAAAATGGTTCTGTTTAAGACCTATTGCAAAACTGAAACTTGTGCTTTGAAATCGAAACAAAATATTTTTGTTGTGCACAGCACTAACATAATCTATTTTAAATTGATTTGTAAATAACGATGATAAAAATTCTGGGGTTTGCAAAGTAAGAAATTGTGGGCTAAAGAAAAAAATAGGTATAACCACTGCTACAATTTATAATTACTATTTTATGTGAATGCAATATTTTCATAATTCCTTTTCTCTTTATATTTTGATCAATTGCCTAAACAGCAATTTTTAAAAAGGTTTTAGCTTGTTATGAAAAACTGGTACTAACTTTAAAAAAAATAAATTGAAAATTAGGGAGTAAGGTACAAGACTAAAATCCTTTCTAATTTCACTAATTTCTAATTTTGGTTTCAACTAACAGAGCATGTGTTTTCACTGTATCTTGAAGATGATGGGGTTGGTGGTCTTCCACATGATCTGATTAGTTCAGTAAACTAATAGCTCAAGTTCACCTCTCTGCAAAGGACATCAGAGTACCTGTTGAACATGTACATTTGGATGACTGCTGGATTCTACGCTTGGTTTATATGTGACCTAAGTGAGAAGTTGTAAGATGGCAGGTACTTGAAACCAATGACACAACAAAAGAGATGCCTCTGATAGTTTGAGGTTTTTGTTTGTTTGTTTGTTTTTTAGTATAGGCTGAAAGTTCCTAACTCTGGATGGAAGGGAAAATAAACCAAACTCTCCCCCCTCCCACAACCAATGCCAAAATCCACCATGTTTTTTGCTTTTAAAGAATTGCAACCATCAACATACATTCAATGTCATTGTCTTCGATATACAAATGCTGCAAACTTCTTGGAATATAGAAAACTTGTTTCAATTTGTTATGTCCAAGATTAAGTTCTAGAAGGTTGGGTAGATTAAAAGTGTTGCGTGCAATGTTCTGCAGGTTATTGCGAGACATTCTTAGTGCAATGATTTTTGGAAGTCTGTTGAAATAGTTTTCTGGAACAGAAGAAATTGAGTTATTTTCAAGAGAGAGATACATAAGTGATGATGGTAGATCAGGGGGCATAGTCTGCAATTTGTTGTTGCATAAGTTTAGCTGCATTAAATTTTTCATGTTTAAAAAGGGCTTTCCTTTGAGTACTGAGTCGTCAAGAAAGTTATTGCAGAGGTCAAGCATGGTTATGTTAGGCAGTCCTTCCAGTGCATTTCCAGATAGCCGAGAAATCTTATTGAAACCAAGGAGGAGTCTCTCGAGAGAGCTAGGGAGTGGGAATGGAAATTCTTCTAATTCATTATGTTGTAAATGAATTTGCAGTAAGTTTGGAAGTTTGGCAAAAACACCATGGTCGATCATATGAAATTTAATTTTGTTGTGGCTGAGGTTAATTTCTCTTAGGAAGGTAACATTAGAGAATGGTCCTGCAGGCACAGCTTCAATATCGTTGCTTTGCAGATAAAGTTGTTGGACGTGACTAGGGATATTTGGTATTGTCTTAAGTTTACGATGATCACAGTACATTGATAATGGAAAAGCTGGTGGACAAAAGCACTCTCTGGCACACTCAACTGGAAAAGGAAAGTGAGGAACTTCAGCTTGTGTACTTGGATTAAAATAAAATGAGTGTTGATCTGGCACCTCATCATATTCATCCTCAAAATCATAGTCTTCATATTGACAAAAGACTATAACAGCCCAGAGGAGGTGAATGATTGATAGCTGGCTCAGAATTCCCATGGTTAAATTTGTAGGTTTTATCCTGTTGATGAGAAGGAAAAATAAGTTTTAGTGGTAAAGGAAGTAACACGCAAGTTTTGGTTTTAAGCAGCATCAAGACAAGAAAAGGGGAATGGCTTTAAGCTGAGAGAGGATAGATTTAGATTAGATACCAGGAAGAAATTCTTCCCTGTGAGGGTGGAGAGGTCCCTGGCACAGGTTGCCCAGAGAAGCTGTGGCTATGCCACCATCCCTGTCAGTGTTCAAGGCCAGGTTGGATGGGGCTTGGAGCAACTTGGTGGAAGGTGTCCCTGCCTGTGCCAGGGGGTTAGAACTGGGTAAGCTTTAAGGTCCCTTCCAACCCAAACCATTCCATGATTCTGTGAAGTTTTTCCATCTCCGACAGAGAGCCTAGCCTTTGTCTGCATGAGCCTTGAAAATATTCCACAGTGGGATTTCAGTATCTCTCTAAATAATTCAAGTTAGCATTGTACTACAGTCCTTGTGAAGAAATTTACTAGCCTTATAAGCACCCAAGCCATGGCTTGTCTTGTTCTTACAGTTATTTTTGTTAAAACTGTATATCCTCATCTAAGGCAAGGTAAATGCAGGGTTGCTTCTATAAATAGAACAGTGAAATAGATTTCATTGCCAGTTGTCTGGGTAAAATAGGAATGTACATGGCATTGGTAATTGCATGTTTTGTAGCATTTTATGTTGCTTTTCTATTTTCTGCAAAGAATGGCTGATAGAGCACATTAATGATGATAAAAATTTAATTTTTCTGTTCTTATAACTGAATGCAATTGAACCACTGTGTACTGCACATAATGTAAGATCTTCATTGATAAAAGTTTTCTTTAGTCTTCCCATGCTTCTGTAATAGTAGTAACTTATAAATTAGCATTGACTAATTTACCTTCAAAATAAATTAGTTTCATCTGAATTTCATCTTCTGAGATGAAATACTGATACTGTCAAAAACAAATAATTTTGCCTGTCAAACTTCTGTTCTTTAAAGCCAAATGAACATTTTAGAACACATTGTGCAGTCAGAGGAACCCTATTATTTGGCAGAATTAGAGTTCTGAATCATGTCAGGCAGTTCAACTTAAACAGCAGATGAGTCAAAATGTAACGTTGCAGGTCAGAGCACATTAATAAAGGAAAACCTTAAGGGACTCTACTCAGTATATTACGGGAACCCTGAGGCAGAGGAAAGCAGATACGCTCTGTTTGGTTTTTATCTTTTTTTGTAATAATGACATTCGTGTTTTTTGTTTGGGGGCTCTTTATCTTGGTGCTCTTTAGATCTGTTTACTGAACGCAATAACAAAGGAGGTAAGACTTCTAAATGCTGATTTCTTATACTTCATAGTGGTGATTGATGCATAATGCATGGCGTATTCCACAAACTAAATGAGAGAGAATTCTAAGAAATAAAGTAGTAACGATATCATGGAATTTAATACATGCTTGTCAACTTCCTGTATTGCACAGAGCCAGTGTATGACAATGACTGGGTGAAATCATTTGTGCTGTTGTCTAACTTGCTTTTCTGAATTTGTATCATTTGTATTTAATCTTCCTTTAATCAAGTTTTGTAACTGATTAAAATCTTAAAATCAGGTTTGAATGGAGTCAAGGTTTCCATCTCCCTACAGCATCCTCAGATACCTGAGCTAATCTAAATAAACAGCAGAAATACATCTACACAGAGAGCAGCTTTGCACTACAAGCACTATGTAAATGTGCTATGCTGATAAACTTTGCAGACGCTTGCTGGATTGAGAAGCAGTTCTGTGCTTCCAGAGGAGACAATGTATATTGGGAGAACATTGTATTACCATATTTCTAACATTTAGTCAGACCTGGTGTGTAAAATCTGTCTCTACATCCTGTGACTTAATTCTGGCTCTTTTAAACAGATCCTTACAAAATCTGTCCCCCATGCCTATTTCATGTTCTTTGTTTCCTGTTTGATTCCTGTTACTCCCTCTCAGTTTTAGTCTGGAACTTTAGCTTCACCTTCTGGTTGTGTTCTCTCAGCACTTCTACTAGGTGTCACAAAACTTCCAATGAATAATTTGGGTTCTCAATGCCACAGCAGTCCTTAGCAAGAGGAACAACTCTGTAAAGTTCTGCTCAGTTTAAGGACAAAGCTTACCTACGCCTTCATGCAATTGATCTACTTGACATGTAGACAATGTGAAGAGAGTTATCATTGCTTCATATAGAATAAGTACCAAAGTCTCTCCTGTTTTTATGAAAAGATGTTTGGGGGGATTTTGGGGTTGGTTGGTTGTTTTTTTAATACCTTGGTTGTAGTTGAGTGCATTTTTGGTAGAATAATAACTGTCCTGCCAGGCTTGCAGGTCATGTCTCAAAGCACTGAGATACTAGCACTTCTTCAGAAAGCAGTTCTAAGAACTTAACTAGCTTTAAAACAAAGATTCATGTCAGGTGAATCCTGATCATGGAAGACACAAGTCAGGTGCGCACAGTGTGGTAAATGGCACACTTACAAAGCTGAGAGAAAACAGAAAACCTTAAAAACATGATTCCCTACATCTGTAATAAACTCAAAGCTTAGTAACTGTATTTGTAAACAGTTCACTAACTGAAAGCTAAATATTATTAGCATGCATGAATCACTTTTAACTGCAGAAATAACACAATCAGTTCATTTTATTCCTGCTTACCAAGCAAACTTACTCTTTGGAAGTCTGTGAAGCTCAAGTTGTAGCGGGCAGCAAGTTACTGCGCTGGTGAAATCATCTGAGAAACAGCCTAACCCAGATGGAGGAACAAAAGATGTCTCTAAGCCATGTTTTGTGGTGAGGAGCCTTGTGGAAAGGCAAAGCAAAATAATAGCCTTAGCCCCCTTCTGATTTGCCAGTAAAGAAAAAAGTCTTGTGCCACATCATCAGTTTCTGTAGCTGCTGTGTCATAAGACTGTGAAGCTATTTATCCTTTTGTTAAAATCACTTTGAAATCATTTGCAAGATTCCTTCAGTGTGACCAGTTCCAGTTAAAAAATAAATAAATAAAGCTTTCACAAAGTGTTACAGAGGTCATTAGTTCGTAGTGCAGTTTCAACTAAATGATTCACTTATGCAAAGGATTTGGAGGATGAAGTTAAGAAACAGTAAAAAAATTAACCTTATCAGGAATGAGGGAAAGCACTCCATAGTGCTATGGTAAAGCTCTTTTTTTTTCCCCTCCATAATCCATATTTCTCACTTCCTGCACGCTAGCTGTGTTATACAGTGCTGTTGGTACAGTGGCGTACTTCTCAGAGTTTTGAAGTTAAAGATCTCCAGTGAGTTTCCAACATGCTCTTGCTACATTGTATGGAAAGAGCATTAATCTTCCTATGAAAAAGACAAGTATGACGTGAGATACAAACTGATTTACTGAAGAAAAATACTTATTTATACCCTTCAAGAGGAAGAAAAAAAAGTCAGGCGTGGTGATCTGCTTTTGCTGCTCTGTGATACTTAAGTAACTATAATACATACCAAAAAATGAGAAAAAGGACAATTATTTTTCTGTCAAAGTGAGATGCTGTCCTGGCTTAACTGTATGTTTTATCAAAACCAGTTATGTTTCTGGTTTGATAAAAGAATTATATCAAAAGCTCTTCACAAGGAAGGTCCTGGTTTTTAAAAAGCCTAGGTGTCTTAGAAGTACCATGTTTGAGAAAATAATGCAATAGTAAGTTTTACTTCTTTTTCTGCCTTTGAGATTCCTGAAACTGGTAATTTGCTTGACCTTTACAAGTTTCTGCTGTAACACTGAGAACAGAAAAATTGCTTAAGAAAATGAATCTTCCAAGATTCTAACATTTGGGATATAAAGTGCCAGAAGTCATGACCAAAATGGTATTCAGGATTCGGCAATACTGGAACTAAAATAAAGCAGTTGTGCATTTATATGGCGAATAGGAAGTACAAGACAGAGATTGAAACACTGAAATTAAAACTACCTAATCCATGATTAACAGTGAAGACTGGAATAGCTATATTGCACCACTAAACCTAAATAATACTAAAAAAGTAATTTATTTTTTAAATAATTTGAATGCTATAATAATGATAAATCAAAAAAGCCCACCAAGTTTGCTATGCCAGTTAGTAAAATTTTATTTGCTGCTGCAAAGGTTGGGGTTTTAAGCACAAGCAGAGAACATGTTGCAAGTTTTTGGAAGCTTTGTCATAATAACAGTTCCAAGTAAAACATGCAAAAAATAGAACTATTTAAACATGAAAATTGAACCAAATTAGAATATTAATTCTATACCTGATATTTTTCTGTCGTTTCTACTATTGGTTGTGTCCTAAATTCTCTTGAGCTGTCAGGAGACTTAAAATCTCATGTAAAAATCCATGGTGACAGAGCAAGAGTCTGTCCTTTGGAGAAACTTCAGCAAAGGTCTTGATTTAAAGCATATTTAGCTGCAGAAGATGATGCAGATCTAGCCATGGGTATAATACATTTGGGTTTATGCAATAAAAAAGGAACTATCTTGGGTATAAACAAGTCTATACTCTGTGATCTTGGTCAGGTTGTGTGGTTTGATCTTCTCTTAGTTTTCATTTGCAATGTAGGAGGAATTGCCTCACAAGAAGGATAATGAGAGGATTAAATTTAACATCACTCATCACTCATGTAAGAGTTCTTGTTTCAAAAGCTGCAACAAATTCACTGTGTTTTGGTTTTCACTTTTAAAAAATGTTTTCTAAGGACTTATTTTTATTCTTGAATTTGTGTAAACTTTTATCATTTGTGGTTGTGATACAAAGTAAGATGTGTATCGAGCTAGAAGTCAGAGTGGCTTGAAGTTGATTTATTTTCTTATGCCAAACTTGGAATGATCCTTTTTGTAAATGAAACTGTTTGAAATCATATTTGCCCTCTTCATTAACTGCCTTCAACTTATGAGACCTGTTACCTATTTCAAGTGGGGTTCTGAACTGAAGGCTTAAGAAAGATTTCTGTTCTAATGTTTTGTGGCTTTAGGTTTACTTAGCTGGTTGAGTACAGCCAACTTAAAAAAATTCTGAAATTTCCAAATTTAGGCAAAATAGCAGGTGAGTAGGTAGACAGCCAGTGGCCCTGATGTGAATGGGACTGGCCCTGATATAAGAAGGAATAAATTATACTGCTTGGCCTTTTTCTTCTAGCCATCATTTAACTGT